AGAATTTATACGTTCACTGACCATTAGAAACATTGTATTGGTAATGAACTTCAACTTAAAAGGATGCCTTACCACACGAGTTATAGCATTCGAAGTCTTAACTACAAAACCACTCAAAAGACTCCAATGACCTATTATAAGGTCATGTTCAAATAAATGGATGTATTTATGTCCAATGGAAGCTTGTATCTTAGAACCCTGAATAATCATGCGATATTCAAATAGGACATGAATAAAATTTATTATATATGAAAAGAAGAAACATTTAATTGCAGTTTTGATCAATAAACTTACATGGATATCAACGAAGATCAGCTTTAGTTTATTTCGGCGATGTCTGTCTTTCTCATGCCATTTCTTGAGCAGCATAACATCAAGAGCAGGATCGACAACCAAATGATCTATTTCAGAGACCTTTAAAAACCGCGACATTTTAAAACAACAATGACAATCAAAAGTATCGAAGAAAACAAAGAATTTTTGCGACTGAGAACTATGGTGAGCCACTTTATCAGTAAATAAGATAAGAGAGAGGAAACAGTTCTCAGAATAAACATCGAGTATATCGACCATTAGAATATTATTTGTATTCGTAGCTTCGGTCGTCTATAATTTGCAAAATTTGAGGTATATGTTGGGAACATACAAATAATTATAATATAGCAGCCTAAATCTAACTTCATATTACCGATAAATCATAATAAATTATTATGCCCTAACATTCACTTATATAAGTAAAGCATATATCTATGTAAATTCAAGCCCAAGATTTTCCCAAGTTTTATGTATCCAGCTCAAATAACGTAAATAATAGAATATAATTATCATATCATTATATAAGAAAGCTCTGAATACTACACTGCTTTCAGAAAGGAGAGCCCCAACTCAGAGTATATCGAATGACAATTATTCCAATCCACCTACCCAAGCCGAACATGGCTAAAACAAAACTCGTAGGCTGGATGGACGCTAATCGTGAGAACTACGAAGCGATGCGTTATCTCTACACAGAATTTCCAACCAAGTGGGTTTGGCATCAAAAGATTAGAAAGTGGTTCCCTCGTAAACGCGACAGAAGAAACAATGTTCCATATGATATACAACTTCCAGACGTCCCTGAAGAATGTGGTGAACTTTTCTACCTCAAAACACTGCTACAGGTACAAAAAGAACCAACGTGCTTCGAAGATATCAGAACAGTGGACGGTGTTACATACCCAACGTTTGCGGAAGCATGTACTGCAGTACGATTAATAGAAGCTCGCGACGCCTGAGAGAAGAAGGATAAACATACCTATATTATATTTAGGTATCCAGAAGATAAATCTAGCTATGAGAAATCATATAAGTTTAAGATAGTTAACCGTAACTTCGAATCTTTCATGACTGTTTTTTTTAAAAAGATTTGAAATCTAAAAAGAAAGTTGTAGAAAGAGACGTATGGTCGTCGATTGATCTAGATTGTTTTGGAAACTTTGTTTTAATATATACAGAGTTTCAAAAAGGTTTAAAAGATTTAAGGTAATACTTGTGGCCATATAAATCAATCTCATACTCATCACCTTTATTTTATACATGATTTTGTTATTTGGTTTTGTCTATATCTTTTTTCCTAATATCAAAGTTCTTCTTTATTGTCTTTCTGATGCAAGACTGGATTGCTCCAAGTTATACACCCTTGATTCTGACCTTCAAGCTTAGATAGATGGAGGATTGGTTGATGATTTGATAACCAGTTTATTGGCTGAATCCACAGGCAACGATTTGAGACTCTGAATAACCAAGGGCTAATCCTCACAAAGTTATTAAGACTCTCCACAAATTATACTCTCTGAATGTACAAAGTATTTAATTTGCAAGAACAATTATTTTCAAAAAAAATCTCTCTTTTAAACAAATAAAATACTTTTTGATTAATAAATTTCGTGTCTTTCAAATACAAGTAAATAGAGCTTATATATTGCTTAGAATAAAGACATAAAACAGTAAGAATGATAATAAAAACATAGCTTAAAAAGTGGCTTAAGTTTAGCCTTTTTTGGTCTCCTAGCCGTTAAGCCTTGAATGGGGGTGAATGGAAGAATGGCTTGATTCATGGAACAAATTTGTGATATTCAGTGAGACTTGGACGTTCAGGATCTTCAGAATAGAGTGTAGGGGTGAGATTAATCTGTGGCTGATCTTCTTGGTCCAACTTTCCCATAGAAATGAGATAATTATCTCTAAGTATGGAAAGTGGCTTCATGGCTGGCTCTCCTTGGTTTTGACTTGGTTTAAGACGGTTAATGACTTGATTATGTGATGTAGGACTGTTGTAGGCTTCTGTGGACGTGAGGGAGGGTGAATATAATATCATGGTATGAAATATATTCTCAGTTTTATTGTACAGCTCCAATAATGCTTGATTTCGCGGTTTGAGTAGATTTGGTGGTTCTTCTTTGGTTTGCATTGAATGGCTTCGGTTATTGACTTGGTTTGATGTCTCTGAATGTTCTAATATCTCTTCTGGTGGTCGAATGATATGCTTGGTCGAATAAAATTGCTTGCTTCCCTTAGTTTCCTTAATCGGCTCCAAATTGATTATAAGTACATGGTTTGCTTCTTTAGTGGTTTGATATTGGTTCTCTTCTGATTTAAATAGAACCGGTGGATACTTTGGTTGTATGAAAGGCTTCTCTTGATAAATGAATCCTATTTGGTTCGTTGATACTCCCTAACATGCTTTGAAAGGGGTTTTGAATCTCTTGGGCTCCTCAGCTACAATCATAATAGGTTCTAGCTCCTCTCCTTCGTGTCTCCTTTTAATATAAGCATTGATGCTTACATCACTTTCCCTTTCCTTTCTTCTCTTCTTTATCTTTTGATTTTTCTTCTTTCTTCTTTCTTATTCTTCATTTCCTACAACATATTATTTTCATTATTTTCACGTTTCTTCGTCATCTTCCTTTGTTTTTCATTTCTTCATTTTCTTCTACCATTCATTTTTATCTTCTTCATCTTTTCTGAGTTTAAATTCGGGATATATAAAAAAGTAAATTTTAAAATCTCTAAAAATATTAGAATAGATTATAAAAGTTTTTTCATTAAGAGTACTTAACTAACTATTATGGGATTTTTCATTAAGTGTACTTAAATAATATTTAGTGAGATTGAATGAGAGACTTCATTCCTTAAAATCACTTCGCAAATAATAGTATAAACCTTCCAAAAATTTATTTAGTTGAAACTTGAACCTAAAAATCTGTTTTACAGACAAAAAAAACAAACAAAAAGTATCCTAATTACATAAACATTTGTAATATTATATAAATTCTTAAGATTTTACGCTTATACATTACTTTAACTCTTTCGTAGCTTGGCATAAGCCAATGTCAAATTGTGACTTACGGTGTAGATTTCATGCACATAATCATCCGCAAGGCATTTCTCATGCATTGACATATTTATGACATCTTCTTGGTGCTTTATCTTCGTGTCATATCCACCACGACTAAATTCATAAGGCTCGTGTATTGTAATTTATCACCATATTTATTGAAGACAAAATTTGCAAATCCCTAACTGGAACCTACAGCCTAAAAAAACACAAAAACGTTTCACAATAATACACAAAAAAATAAGAAACACGTTTAGAGTTCAGATCAAAAAAAAATTCAGGAAGGTCTTCGTTACAGAGAGAGTTTTTCGGAACCTCCTATGTGAGCTTGTGTTTTCTCAAACACAGGAAAAGAGAAATAAGTCAAAAGGTTTTTCAATGTCTTCCTTCATTGCGGATTCCTCTTGACTAAACCCATTCATCTATTCAATAGCAGCAGCCATCATAGATTTCTTATGGCCTCGAATTCTTTTTCGTTCATCTCTTTAATAGCATCCATCATAGATTTCTTATCCTTGAAATGTGTAAGCACCAATATAGTCTAAATCCAAATCATTTATTGCCTTTCATTCTCCCATACACGTTTAATTGAGCTATGTGATTATTGATTCTTACTGAAAGGCCATCGAGTCATCTCATGAAACCAGAAATTGATTCAACACCGTTCTCCGAAACTTTCTTCTCAGACAATGTTTTCTTTATCTTATAAAAAAAAAACGTTTCTTGCTTTTAGACATGCTGCAAAACTTTTGAATATTCTGGTGTGTTTCTAAATTTACAGTTGCTATTTTGGATTCGTTACGTCTTATTTCATACTGTGGCAATACGATGTAAAATTTTGTTTTTTCTCGGTATGCCAGAATATTGGCCCAAAGTACTCCTCTGCTTTACCTAACAAACTCGAAAAATGCAATGACTTACACAATGGCATTCTTAGGTATTACAGCTTTTTTACATTCTGATCTAGTTGGTGTAGCTTTGAGTGTCCTATTAGAAAATCCGGTTTATCTAACCGGGTAATTAGAATTCGATTCAATGTGTAAACCGGATATATTCTAATATGTCCGAATGAACATAGGTTCTGAAAGTCTTTTACGTGAGTTTTTGAGGCTTATGGTTTACAATACACTGTAAACCAGAAAACAGAAGTGATACATAACATCTTGTAATTTTGAACTAATTGATGAAACAGCTGTGGTCTGTAATTAATTCTCAGTTTTAAGTGAAAGCAATGCATAAGATACAAATTGACATTCGAAAAAAGAAGCAAATTTCCAAACCAGGAGTCTCCTCGCGATCATTGTCACCATCAAGGTCTACCCTCTCCTCAGATTCCATGGAGTCGTGGGTCTCCGAAGCAGCGGTCCTCGTCCTCGACATGTTAAGTATCTAGAAAAGAAAGCTTGCGCTGCAACTGTGGAGGAGACACAGAAGCAAGAAGCAATTGGGGAGAGAGAAAAGAAAAATGAAGGAAAGGTTTGGAAAAGAAACAGTAAGAGGCCAATAGAAAAGAAAAAAAAAGAATTTAGGATTGGCTCTCTGCCATCAATAACATACCAATAGAGAAGAGGGCGATGAATGCTTAAACAAAAACCGAGAAAAATTAGTTGATAAATTATTTTATTTTGCGTTTCATTAAGACGTAAAGAGTAATCAAGTGTTTTTTTTTGTGTGCAAATAGTAATCAAGTAAGTTAAGTGATCTATATCCACAAGGGTAATTCAGGGAACTCACATCCACGGCACATCTCCGACCAGCATCCAGTCACCGTTCTTATCCTCGTAAGTTGCCATAAACTCTCCGCTCCTCTCCAACTCAGTCGTCACCTTACCTACGACCGTCAAATAACCACACTCCAAGTAAATTTACATATTTAAACTCTGTTTTCTTTTTCTTCTTATACATTATAACGATCCCTCCTCGATTACTTACACATTGTTACGTGCCCTTGAAACATGTTTTCTAGAGCGGTGAAAAGATGACTGTAGCAATCGTACATCCCTAGATCGAGTTTTTCTGAGATAGGCCGCACCATCCACCGCAACTTTCACGTGTTTCCTCCGCCTCTCCGTACTCACCGGCGGCACCCTACCAATCGGTCACTAAAATCAGAAAGAAAAAACATGCGATCAGTGAAACATGCATATATATACATATTTGTAACAATGACAACATAGTTAATAATAATATGGCGTACTTAGTGTTGCATGAGATGTAATCGTTCACGTGTCCTTCCCCGAGTTTCAAGTCAATGGTCTCGATTGCTTCAGATGCCAAGATTGTAGCATTTTGGTGTTTTGTGTGTTAAAAACTTATTTTGGTTTTTGGTTGTAAAGTGATGTGTTAACTTACACCAAAAAAAAAAAAAGTGATGTGTTAACAATACAATGGCTTTAGAATCTGAGATTGTGTTCCTTTGGTTTGGAGTAATGTCCATTTACTCTCTGTTGGTAGAAAAATCTTCCTCTTTTTATTTCGAGTTTGATTAGAACCAAACAAACGTTTCTGATATTTCTCTGTGACAGGTTCGAGATATCTCTGGAACATTCCGATGGGCACCGTTCCTGGCTCTGCAGAAAGAGAACTCCTTTTTAACAATGCTGTTACTTCTGTGCAAGTACAAAATGAAGAGCATCCCTGTGGTTGATTTAGGTGAAGCAAAGATCGAGAACATCATCACACAGTCAGGAGTTATCCATATGCTTGCAGAATGCGCGGGACTTCACTGGTTCGAGGACTGGGGACTCAAAACTCTCTCTGAAGTCGGTCTTCCCAATATGTCAAAGTATCATATCATAAAGGTCAGTGTGTAATCTTGCTTATAGCTCCATTGAGTACTTCTTCTTCTGACAGAATTATCATTCGTTGTCTCAGGCGTTCAAGCTGATGAGGAGAAAGAGAATCGGAGGCATACCCGTGGTTGAAAGGAAAAGTGAGAAGCCAGTAGGCAACATAAGCATTAGAGATGTTCACTTTCTCCTCACTGCACCAGATATTTACCATGACTACAGGTAAATACTTCATACAATTCCTTATATGTATATACCAAGTTTACTCGTGGTAATGGTCAATCGTCAATGCTTTTCTCTTGATCTTCTTTTTGTTCAGGTCAATCACAACGAAGAACTTCTTAGTAGCAGTGAGAGAGCATCTGGAGAAGCGTGGGGATACATCAGCACCTATGATGAGTGGTGTCATCGCTTGCACAAAGAACCATACGCTAAAGGAACTGATCTTGATGCTAGACACTGAGAAGATCCATAGGATATATGTGGTTGATGATTCAGGTAACCTCGAAGGACTCATCACTTTAAGAGACATCATCGCAAGACTCGTCCATGAGCCCTCTGGCTATTTTGGGGATTTCTTTGATGGTGTCATGCCTCTTCCCGAAAACTACCGAGTCTAACAAAATGGTCTCTTTCTTGTGTAAATTCGTCTATGAGTTCGTATGCTTCTCTGTCTGTTTGTGCCAATGTTCTTGAATTTGTGTTATAAACGTTCAAACAGAAATATAATAAAAGAAGAAAAGAGCCAGTCTTTAAGTGAATCCATGTCTGAAATACAGTGATCTCAAGAGTCTCAGATTTGGCCCTACGTTTTAAATTGGTGCAATTAGGCCCCTGGTCAGAGCAAGTCTTCTTCAAACTTGATCAAGATCTGATCCATCTGTGGTTGATGTTTCCTAACCTGACAATTTGTTTCAGATAGTTAGATACCAAAATGAGATTACCAAAGCAAATGAAAGGTCCTGAACTTATTAATCTTAAGAGACTTACTTTGATGTTGGCCATGGCTAAGAGCTTGTGAGAAGCTACGTAGGCAATATCTGAGTCATTTAATCTCTTTTCCACAAAATAGATTACCTCAGTAACACCAGACTGCAACAAAGAAAACCAAAAATGAAGCAAGTCAATGTGATTGTGATGATCTACTTGCATTAACTTAACCGGTGATATATCAAAACAACCGGTTAGCTAAAGATAGTTGCAGTATAACACTACTACAGATCCAAATCAATTCGAGTTGTTTGAAGAACAAACCTGTATAATAATCTTGGCACATTCGTTGCAAGGGTACATTGTCACGTAAAGCTTCTGCAAAAGATTTGAGGAACACAAACAAACTTGAATAAACTATTCAGACACAAATATCTTAGAACAGAAACTGCATATGACTTTTCATGTCAATCTCTTTGCAGCTAAGAGAGTCTTCAGCATTCTATTTTCAAATAATTAGCTGTTGTATAGACTATTCAACATGCTTTGATCTTTTATCTCAATTGAGAAACCCCATGTGACAAAACAATGTTCAAAGAAACTAACCTGTCCAGCCGCAGATGTGTGGTTTGTGTTTAGTATGGCATTGACTTCAGCATGACAAACATATCTATAGAAACCAAAAAGACGGACACAACACAACTTAGCAATGACCCAAAAACGGATGAGGATTACAACATACTGTAGCTGGCATCATTTGAGATTTGTACTTACGGATACTTTGTCTCCAATGGGTTCCCAGTTTTCGACTTCTGAAAACTGGCAGCAGCAAAATCAAGAACATGTCTAATGGAAACGCAAATACATCACTTTTGGCTGCCGTAGAATCAGAATTATAATGACAGAGTCTGTATGTCTACTTTGAGTTCAAGGGAATGTAGGAATAGTAATACCTTGGCCCAAGGAAGTCTGTCATCCGAGCAACCTCTTGGAAAACCAGTATAGCCAATCCCTAAAATGAGAAACAAAAAGTTCTTTACTCATCTATGTCGATACCTACAGAATTCATTTTTTTAAAATTTGTCCGAAAAAGATGTCAAAAGACAAAGTGTGATCCATCATCTTACCAAGAATTACACCATTCTGGCTCACCAGACACGCACCAACCTGCGGAAGCATAAGAACGGGAAAGCATTTAGACCTTAAAGTCCAAATATAAAATTGTCACAAAAAGGAATATCTAATCTCGAATTTGTGAACCCTCAGTCCAAGTCTTAGGTTCAAGTTTCTAAGCTTTTAGACCTTAAAATCCACTCTAAACGTGCTAGACATCAAAACATTAAAGGCAGCATCAGATTTAGAACTTCACTTCAGATGGGCTATTCATCAAATATCATTCATCACCAGTTTAAGATGATTCTTTCACCTATGGCTGTGAACTTAACTGAAAACTTCCACTAAATCAAACATATTCTCATTAACCCTCTTTATATCTAGGAGCTACCTAGACATAACTCAACTTAAGTATATGATGGAATGTGTTAAGTTGGACAAAAAACTGTTTGAATACTCATTTGTGTTGTTCATCATACAATGAGTATCCCAACAGCAACAAACCCAAACCAAATCAGATAAATATTCATAATCACAAACAAAAATACAGCTGCATCATAGAGAGTTGACACAAAAGGAAGGATAAGAAGGAGCGCAGGTACAGGACTCCACTAAACTCAGGGTCTTTGAGAATTGTGCGCCATTTATCATATCCCCAAAACAAAACAAACACGGAAGGAGACGGAGAGAGGCGCAATGAGATGAAGCGCGAGAGGGTGAGAGAGAGAGGGTACCTGAAAAGGCGAGAGGGGAGAGAGAGCTGCCGGAAGAAAACCCTAATTTAAGAAATTCTCACTGTTGCTATCTCTCTTCAGCTCTTTCAGCTTACGATCAGTCCTCGTCAGCTTCGATTGATGGAATTCCCATAAATCTCTTGAACTCCTCGTCCATCTTCCAATCCATCTCTTGCTGCTTCGATTTCTCTTCATCTTCTTCACTGTTTCCGGAGAAGGCGGCGCATTGTCGTTCGAGTGGTCCTCCTTTCACTCCTCCGCTATTGCCACCAGAGACGAAGCATCGCTTGCAGTTTCACGAACTCGACCATCTTCCGCTGAAAACCTCAAAGGATTTAAGGATTTCTCATCCCCAATTTTTATTCTCTTTTTGTCGTCGGCTTTCCAAGATCTCCTTAAGGATTAAAACACAGATTACTTAAGATTCATACCAAATTAGAAAAATCAAACATAAACAAACAACGAAAAAGATAAACCCATAATATGAAGAACACATCAAATTCAAAAATAACAAACTGCCTTGAGGTGATCCATCGACGTTGACATGAGGAATGAGAGTATCCGTTCTCTGGAGATGGAGCTTGGTCCTGGCCATTGGTCAAATTCTAGGGTTTTCGTTTAGATGAACGAATATATATACAGTATAGAGGGTGTGTTATTGGTTTTTGTATTTTAAAATTTATATTGAAATACAGTGTTATTGGTTCTATGATTTTAAAATCAATAATGAAATATAGTGTTATTGGTTCTATTATTTTAAAATCTAAATATTATAAAAATTTGAGTTTCAATTGAATTTGAATAGATTTGGAAGGATTTTCATGACTAAAATACAAAGACTCAAATACAAGGTCTAACCTTGGTATTTGAATGGATTTGATTTTTTTCCATTTTGCTGATTTTGAAATCAATAAATTTATCAAATCTAAAAAAGATTTCTAAATCCACCAAAATACAAAAACCAATAATCTCTACTAAATTAATAATCACTATAAATTAATAATTTTTACCGGTTCTAAATCGGGACAGTGTAAAAATTAACAAATTTCGATAAGATAATAAGATAATATTTTATTTGAAACTCTTATGTAAAAATATAGTCTCAATAATTATATAAATTAATAATTATACATTTAAGCATATATAAATAATATAGTATAGTAAAATATAATTATATTATTGTTTCAAGTTTATAAAAAGTGTTTGACTTATTTTTTAAATTCACTGATATGATATTTTCTGAATAAATTTTACAATGTTGAAAATATTTTTTTGTTGTTTTACAAATATTTTGAATTTGAACCGAAATATATCTCTATAAATTAATAAAATATTAATTTCTTGATAAATTAATAACTATTAATTTATCGATTAATTAATAACTCTATAAATTAATAAAATTTTGCAGTCCTAACATTATTAATTTATAAAAATTTTACTGTAACTATTAAAATTCTAGGGTTTTCGTTCTGTAATATAGTTTTGAGAAGTAGCCGGTTTTTTCAAATTGTCCATTGGATATATATTTCAAAAAGCCCATCTTATAGAATCGGTATAAGGTTTAGATTACCATAATCGATTTTTAAATGAGAACCAAACCAAACCAATCGATTTAAAATCCGAAAATTACCACTAAGGGCAGAAGGCGCTAACCCCTCTGAGAAGAGCTGTGGTGCGTTTCTGACTTCGCAAACAATAATATAGATTAAGACCAAAACCAAACTCTATTAGGAATCCAACTTATATTTAAATAACTCCTAAATATAATCCTAATCTCTAATAGCTTATATCTCAAGCTTTCTTCAAGCTTAATCCAACAATCTGTACTCTTGATCCAGGCCACTAAAGATCATCTATTACAGTACTTCTTTCAGCGCCGATGACTGATACGTTAGCAAATTACCATTTGAGAACAGAAAAGAAAAAAAAAAGAGTTCTTGTGTGGTCTAAATGAAAGGAGCAGTCTCTATGTACGATTACTTGTCTCTCCTTTTCATGTGAAAGTTTTTGACTTTTGAGGCACTTGTAATCTTTGGGTTAATCTCAACATTTTTGTTTTTCTTTGCTACAACAAATATCAATCTCTACTTACTTAAATTTTGATACAAGAGCAAATATAATTATCGACTCTACTATTCCATTTTCAGTTGTATAATGTTTTGTATAAGATTTCAGTGACATATTGCAGGAAATCCTGTTTTACTAAAGATGGAATTGTGTATATTACAGTTTAAAAAAAAAGAAGATAAATTTCAGTTTGATATGTTTTGGCGGGAATATTTTTTTCAAATGGATTCTGAACAGTAAATCAAATGCTAACAACAAAAAGAAAATATTCGAATCTTTTTAATTTGATGGCTTTGCTTCCAATGTTTTCTCTCACGATGCCTTCAAAAGCGCGAAGAAATAACCATGAAGAGTAACGTGACCTATGGCTGTTTAAATTTGACTTTAACATTGGTTTATCCTTCCGATCCATTTATGTAATTATCTGATTTCTCTTAACTGGTTTATTATTATTTTTTTAATGTTGAAGTCCAAAAGTCCGTTAAGCTTTTTTAAATTTATTAGGTAATAACTCTAGAGTCTTCTCTCTTTTATATAAAGAGATATAGAGAAAGAGAATCATCATCACAATTTCCAGAGCACTCAGAGATAAAATGTAGAAATCCTAGTTGTGCAACCTTAAATCCACCGCTGCCGTCCACCACCGCTGAGGAGAGGAGCCACCGCCGTTCATTTGCTCTGAGCCATTGTCTTCTTAAATCTTTTCCTTCTCGTCGTTAGATCCCTAAATCCTAGTTTCTTTTAGCTTTTATTCGATAAGACCAAGGTGAGGATATATCTATGCCTTCCCTTCCATGTTATCTTCCTCACTTGTCTCTGGTTAAGGATAAGCGAATTTTCTTCCCCTTGCAAAGTTGTGCTTATGGTGTAACTTGTAGTTGATTGTTGTGTGCTTTGATATATTTTTACTTGTTTTTGAACATAGATCTAGGACCATGGTTGGTATTATCGATTTGTTATTTTGTGTTTGATTGCTTGTGAGAAATGTGGGTTGCATTGCATATAGAGTGTTAAGAGCACAATTGCATTAGGAGCCGAAAGTCATGCAGTTCCACTTGTCGGATTGTTGAGGTTACGATAGATGCAGTTCATACCTAGACATGAGAGCCGAGAGTGATGCAGTTCTACTTATCGGATTGGGTTACAATAGATGCAGTTCCTACCTATACCGATAGGTGAAAGTGATGCGATTCCACTTGTATGGTTGTTGAGGTTGTGGTAGATGCAGTTCCTACCTAGACCTAATATGATTGCTTGTTGATTGTTGATTATTGGAGAGTTGTGAAAGCTTGTTCGTTTAGCTAATAACTAGCGACATGTTTATGTTATGATATGTGTGGTAGACCACATGTATGCATTCTCCTGGGTAATTTAAATTACTCAACCCCTGCATGTCCCTTCCCTCTTTCGCAGGTGAGTAGGAGCAGCAGCAATGATCGCATGGTGGTAGTGTAAGTGTTCATTATTTCGATCTTGGATACCTAAAACACTTAGCTTTCTTTTTAAATAATTTTTTTAAGAATCTATTAAAGTTATTTTGAGTTTAAATTCGTTTTTGCAAGACTATTTGAGTTCTATTTATAAATGAGTATTGATCTTGAGTTCAAAGAATAGTAACTAGGTTAAAATGTTAAATAGGTAGTACGCCATCTTAAAATGATGAAAGATGGATGTTACAATTTACTAGCTACCAAATACGTTAGAAAGTTATTTTGAAAATCGGAATGTCCTCTTAGTTAATCAAAGAATAACTTCGGTGTATAAATATTCTTAAGAGAGTCTCATGTACTTGCTTTTCTTTTTTGAAAAACAATGGTTACATTAGAAGAATTTATTCGTCGAGTCTGCATCATGATCAATATTAAGAAAAGCATAATTTTGTGGGTATCTTTTTCATTTTAACAAAGAATAACTTAATATCGTGGTTTTATATAATATTATATATAAGGAAAGCTGTCATCGTTAAGCGAAACCAAAACATAAAAAAAAATTATTGAAAATACTATAGTATAAGCTTTGACCTGTCGAAATACTTTCTATACCAAAAGAAAATGGAATTACTCAGAGAAAATTATAAACTATATTCAACGCGTGGGCTAAAATGTGAGGCCTGTAATCTTGGTACAAACTACTATAGTGATGGTCATCGTTGCAGGGGTTCTGGCCTCTTCTTTCACAAAGAATGCGCTAACTCCAGTCCAGATGTTACCAACCTCCACCATCCACAACATCGTTTAACAATAAAGGTAGTCTCAGCAAAGGAAAATGCCCATGGAGAATGCAAGATTTGTAGAGGTAACTTGCTAAAAATGTATTATTATTGTTCAATATGTGATTTTGCAATCGATTTGATATGTGCAAGAAAAGAAGTTACGATGACGATCGAAAGTCCAAAGAGCCACGAGCATCGTTTATCTCTTGTTCCAAAGATGATTATGTTTACCTGTCATATATGTGAGCTGCTTGATGATCGGTTCCCTTATGCATGCAACATATGTGATTTGAGTTTTCACAAAGACTGCGCCGAATCTACACCAGAGCTCAACTACTCTTGTCATCCTAAACACCCTCTCAAGCGTCTCACGTGTGTTCCAAGTTACACCGATGGAAAATGCTGCTTGTGCGGAGGCAAAATTCATAACGTGTTTTATCACTGTTCTGTTTGCAATTTCAGCGTGGAAGTCGATTGTGCAAAGAACCCACCTCCTTTCACTCTTGTCCACGCCAAAGCTCATGAACATTCACTCACTCTTATGCCACAACGACCTTTTGTTTGTAATGCATGTGGAATAATGGATGACGATCCAAACCCTTATGTATGTCTTCAATGCAATTTCATGGTCCATAGAAATTGTATAGACATACCACGCATCATAAAGACAAGTCGTCACGATCATCGTATCTCTTACAATCATTGCCTCACTGCCGGAGATTGGAAATGTGGAGTGTGTAAGAAAGAAATAAACTGGACATGTGGAGCTTATTCTTGTTCCAAGTGTTCTGGTTTCGCAATTCATATGAGATGCGCCACAAGGTTTGGAATTTGGGATGGCATTGAATATGAAGGCATAGTAGAAGATATTGTCGATTTTAAATCATATGAGGTGATCGAAGAAGGAGTAATAAAGCATTTCAGTCACGAGGATCATATTTTAATGCTCAAAGAAGAAGAGAGTGACGCTAATGATGAAAGCGTATGGTGTAAAGCATGCACATATCCCATTTTTGGTAGCCCATTCTACGATTGCATGGAATGTGATGACTTCGCCATTCATCAGAAATGCGCCTATCTCCCCAAAAAGATTATAGATTCTTTCTACAAGATGCCAATGACTCTACTCTCAAAAATAGGTGCCTTAAATTTCTGCGATGTTTGCCAAAACAATTTTCAAGGTTTCAAGTACGAAGGTGATGATAATAGTATTATCAAGCTTGATGTGCGATGTGGTTCTATCTCTGAGCCATTTGTCCATGAAAGTCATCCTGATCATTCGCTATACATCAGTCACTCTACGGGAGACAAATTCTGTAATGGTTGTGGAGATGAAGCAACTATGGTTTTAGGTTGTGAAGAGTGTGGATTTGCTTTGGACATTAACTGTTCTATTTTGCCAAAGATGGTTAAACACAAAAACGATAAAGATCATTTTCTGTCTCTGTGTTACGGAACAAAAACGACTGAGCAGTACTGGTGCGAGATATGCGAGGAAGATCTAAACCCAGAAAAATGGTTTTATTTATGTGATCTCTGTAGCATCACTTTTCATATCAAATGTACGCTTGGTGACCTCATATGGATTAAACCCAACAAATTTCATGTGATTTCTAATGATCGTATGAGTCGACCAGTTTGTGACGGCTGTGGTTTCCGCTGTCAATTCCCATCCATCTTCAAGTACTTTGGACGTACATTCTGTTCTTTGCAGTGTTATATAGATCATAAGTTTATGGCTTCTAAGATTCAGCTTGTTAGTAATTTTATATAAAGTGGATTTGCAGCAAATTATTATATTGTCATATTACTTCACCTCAACTTGTTTATTGTTTGTGAGAATCAAAATGTTAATAAAATGTTTGTTTACATAAATTTACCTTTCATTTCTGTTACGATCCCATGAGTGTATACTCTTCTTTTGTTAAATTCTATACCTGTTAACAATGTATACACCTCTTCTTTTGTTAAATTCTATACCTGTTAACAAAATAATTGCAATATTTTAAAAGCTGAAGAGAATCCTAAATCATATAAGCCCTGAAAAGAAAACCCTAACTCTGAAATACTAAACCATAACCCAAAAACATAAAACTATATGACCTAAAAAAAACTGAAATTGCTTTATTTGCTTACCTATTTTCTAGTTTAGAATTGTAGATTACCGTTTAGCTTTATAACACGTCATAATAACCCCAATACTTTTTACGGACGAGAATTTAATTCAGAAATGAACAGAAATCAATTTAATCAGAAGGCTCTTCAGGCTTCACAAAGAACTCTATATAAGCAATGCGACTCGGAGGCTGATACCCTGCAGACTCAACATGTGGAGCTAAAGCTTTAGCAACCGAAACCAAGTGCTGAACTTTCAACATTCCTCCTCTCCCTATCGTCATCTTGCTTCCCCTGTTTTCTCTCACCACGTTCCCCGGAATATTCGCCGTCGTTGCCTTCAGAAACTTGTACTTGTACCTACAAGATCGTTACCAAATGCATCTGGTGAGTCTTCTTACTTAGTCAATGTGTAGACTAAAAGTTACAGGATGAATGAGTCAATGGTTTTACCCGTAAGAGACTTCGGTATCACAATGAAAGGCAAGGAGAAGATCTGTGTTAGCATAATACATGAAGTCTATCTGCAAAACCAGGATTATATGTGGAATGTGGTTGGACTTTTGATTCTCTCAACACACAAAAAAAAACGATACTTTACAAAGAAACAAGTCAAGACCTGTAGGTCTCCGTGTCCTTCTCCTCTAAAAGTAACACAAGGAGGAGACTTTTGAAGGCTGATCTGTACGCTTGATCCAGGCCATTCAAGATCATCTATTGCTTCCTTCAGCGCTGATGACTGATACATTTAGCAAAATCACCATTCGAGATTAGCTCAGACTAAAAAGATTGTATGTATCCACGATGGTATGTCTACTTATAGATACTGTGTTACCTTCACTGTAAAAGTAAGTGGCGCGGTTCCTGCCTGCTCAAAGTGATAGTCCCACGCGCTTGTCTCTGGGATTCTTGTTCTTATCTCAGAGTATATGCACGAGTTTAGAGTATCAACAGATCTAATTAAAAAAACCACAAACATCAGCTAACTTTGAAGCATCAGATTTCACAAGGCAAAAGAAGAAGAAAGAAGCAGAGGATGATTTGTTCATACTTGAGAAGAAGCTCCATATCAGGTCCTGGATACTTGATTTCAATGGTGTTTGAGTGTCCAGGTGATGAGAACGTGTTCAAGCAATCCACAAGAAGCCCTAAGCTGATTCCAAATCTCGGCCTACCTTCAGCTCCATACTCGTACTTCGTGAACAGCTTTCTCACACATAAAACATCAAAACACATTTCGGATTCCACAATATGGTGAATCGAATTTTTAGGAAAACTCAGAAAAATCGATGATACCTCGCGTTGAAGATAGACCTTGGCTTGAAGACAGCCTGAATCCTCCACGATCAAAACTACTCCGTGTTCAGATAACTCGACTAAGGCATCCTGTAAACGGAGGATTTTTTCAATTGAATCATCGAAAATCAAAGAGGTGGTTTGCGATCGCAATTTCTCAGAAAATCAGTGAAGATCGATAGGTAAAACCCTAGATGGGGTTTTCTGGGGATGGAGACAAGACCTGGTGGCGTTTCCATCGGACGCAAGTGAGGGCATCGAAGATTCCATGGACATTATCGAGCTGGCAAACGAGGTCCGGCGCGTCTGGTTCAATCGCCGGCGACGAACTCATTTCTCGATTTCTCTCTCTCTCTCTAGCTCTATTTCCCTCGCTTCTCTTTCCTTCCTCCGCTTTCCCGCCAAAGAATGACTAGTCTAATGGGTTTATTTGGGCCCAATTGTGACCTAACAAAGCGCTCAAAGTCTTTTTAGCGGTTATATGAACTTCTGATTACGAAATGGTCGAAAAGATAGCAGTAAAAAAAAAAAGCGATTAGATTCATTTGAATGAATGTTTTATTGATAACAAACAAATAAATAATAAAATTTTACCATACATAGAATCTCCGAGATAACAATTTTTAAATTTGTTCAAAGAATGTTGAAAAAACTAGACAAGTTAAACCGCTCACATGGTAAACCACAGCATCTTTTTGAACGATTCATAACATGATTTATCTTCTAACCGCGTGTTTTGACCGTCAATTATTTGAGTGTGGAACTGTAACTTAACTATTCCAATCATAGCTGAGGCCCAGTTCTCTTTAAACCTCACCTTTTTGGGCTACACAATATTTAAAAAAATGAAACATAGAAACCCACCTAATTATTAAACGTGTCATGTCACTCTATCACAGAAAAATATTAAAATAACAAAAGGGTAATATCGTAAATTCGAAGTCATTTTCAGCCTTTATTTCTCGCTCCCTTTTTTCTCTTTCTCTCTCTATCCGTACACGAGATGGATGGTGTCACCGGCGGAACGAAAAGCGGCGAGGCTGTGACGGCGCCTCAACGGAATCCACATCCAGCGACGTTACTTAGTGCGAACGCGTTACCGCCTCCTTTCCTTAGCAAGACGTATGACATGGTGGAAGATCCGGCGACGGACGCGATTGTTTCGTGGAGTCCGGCGAACAATAGCTTCATTGTCTGGGATCCTCCTGAGTTTTCCCGTGATCTTCTCCCCAAATACTTCAAACACAACAATTTCTCCAGCTTCGTTCGCCAGTTGAATACCTACGTAAGTAAAATCTTCTTAAAAACCCTTCCCCCTAATTCCGCCATTGATTTATCTCTGATAAGGATCAGTAAACGAAGAACAATAGTCTTAAGAAAAAACTAGAAAATCTAATGATTCATGTGACTCAAGCTAAGTTATGTTTGATTCTGGACCAATTTGATGAACAGGGTTTCAGAAAAGTTGATCCAGATCGGTGGGAATTTGCAAATGAAGGTTTCTTGAGAGGTCAAAAACACCTCTTGAAGACTATAAGCCGGAGAAAATCTGCTCAGGGACACGGAGCTAGTAGTAATCCACAACCCCATCAGTTATCTCAGGGCCAAGGTTCAGTGGGTGTGTTGTCCTCATGTGTTGAGGTTGGCAAATTTGGGCTCGAGGAAGAGGTTGAACAGCTTAAGAGAGACAAGAACGTGCTGATGCAGGAGCTCGTCAAGCTACGCCAGCAGCAGCAATCAACGGACAGCAAGCTTCAGGGTATGGTCAAAAGTCTTCAGGCTATGGAGCAGAGGCAACAGCAGATCATGTCTTTCCTCGCTAAAGCTGTTCAAAACCCCACTTTCCTCTCTCAGTTCATACAGAAGCAGACCGATAGTAACATGCATGTGACCGAGGCGAATAAGAAGCGGAGACTGAGAGAGGACGCTACTGCTTCTGCTGCTGAGAATGAGATCCGTAGCTCGGCTGCATCAGATGGACAGATAGTTAAGTATCAGCCTCTAAGAAGCGATTCGACGAAGTCAGTGATCTGGAACATGATGAAAACAGATGATGAGTTTCCTTTTCTCGATGGGTTCTCATCTCCAAGCCGGGTCTCTGGAGTCAGTCTTCAAGAGGTGCTTCCCACAACTTCAGGACAATCACAAGCATATGTATCCGTACCTTTGGAGCAGCCTTTATCCTACTTACCTTCTACTTCAACTTCCTTACCTGATACCGTAATGCCAGAGATGACGCAAGAGAGCATCGGTGACTTCCCTACAGAAAACTACATGGATACGGAGAAGGATGTTTCGGAGGCATTTATCTCTCCGAGCCCGTTTCTTGACGGTGGTTCAGTACCGACTCAGCTCGACGGAATACCTCAAGACCCCGACATTGATGAACTGATGAGTAACTGTGATCTCTTTGAAGAGTATTTGGCACAAAGCCCAGTCCTTGGAGATGAAACTATACTAGAGAGCAGCAACACAAATGGTGGGAATATGGTTAAGCTTATAGAAGAGTTGGGTCTTCTCACATCAGAGACAGAGCAATTGTAAAGGATTATGCTTTAGTACGAAATTGTATAGTCTTTTCTCTACTAACTTTATCGTTAGGAGACTATGAGGTTTTCGAAGTCTATAAAAAAAAAGTTAAACTTTGTGCAAAAATCTTTCCTTGGATAATAACAGAAGAAGAGTTAAATAATTTGTTATCTTTATGTGTGTGTCTTTTTTTTTTTAGTTTATTGTTGAAAGTGACAATTTGTCGAAAACATATATTTCGATAAGGAAAACACAGAGTTGGAATTTCCCGGGGAAGCTCTTTTCAATGGAGGTCCTTGCGAGTTCTTCATTATCCCCAAATTTTACTAAACCTCATAAAATAAGCCCTAATTTCTCAATCCAGGTTCTTCTTCTTCCCCAAAATTGACTCTTTTTTAGTTTCTCCCCCGAAACTCCCATGAAAATTTCAGTTTTGTGTCCGTTTAGCTGTAATAGAATTTTCAATCTCTGCAGGTGAAATTGTGGGTATCTCAACCTCCAACGATTTTAAAAGCTAGCAACTTTAGATATGAGAGGAATCGTAGTAACAAGCCAAGGAGCAATGCAAACCCAGGACTCGTGTTCGTCTGTAATAGATATATGTGTCTTCTCGAAAGAAATGATCATAGGAAGTTTTCTGGGAAGGTTATGATGAAATCTTCAGTCAATTTCAGAAAGAACGTCTCCGTCGCATTAGTTCGGCTAGTTTCTGTTCTGCTTGTCTCCTCCATTTCTGTCGTTACCACTGATTCACCATCATGTAAGTTCGTTTTTTTCTTTTACATAACCATCTCGAATTTGGGGATTGCAATTTGATTTCATTTTGTCTCTCTCTAGGGGGTCTTAGTGAGGAGAATCTTCTCTTCTTAGAAGCTTGGAGAACAATAGATCGTGCGTACATCGATAAAACCTTCAATGGACAAAGCTGGTTTCGTTACAGAGAGACTGCTCTAAGAAACGAGCCTATGAACACTAGAGAAGAGACATGTATGTTGTTGAACTTGGAACCAAAGCTCAAACCTTTTGTTAAAATATTTAGAACAATCCTGCATCTGAATTTGGTGTTTTGTTTCTGTGTGTTTAGACAATGCTATCAAGAAAATGATTGCAACACTAGATGATCCTTTCACTCGGTTCTTGGAGCCTGGAAAGTTTCAGAGTTTGCGGGTAACAGTTCATGAAAAGACCACTGTTCTGAATGTAGCAAATTAGATTGTTATGTCATTGTAAGAAGTTTGTAAATGTTTTGGTTGAAGGTAGTCTGGAACACAAGGCGCTGTTACGGGTGTTGGGCTATCGATAGGTTATCCCGCTGCATCAGATGGATCAACGTCTGGGCTTATTGTTATATCAGCTGCTCCGGGAGGTCCTGCAAACAGGGCGGGAGTTTCAGCAGGAGATGTTATTCTTGGGATCGATAATACAACCACAGAAACACTTACCATATACGATGCTGCACAGATGTTGCAGTGAGCCACATGTTTCCACTTTCATCTTTCCTTTTAGCTTTCAAGAAATGGATTGTGATGAGATCATGCTTTGGTTAAATATGCAGGGGACCTGAAGGAAGCACAGTGGAGCTAGCGATTCGAAGTGGACCTGAAACGAGATTCTTATCTTTGACGTAGTTTTTTCTTCATATTCTTACATTTCTTACATTTATCTTCGTTTTCACGTTCGTTAAGTTGCTCCGGTTATTGTTATTTTCAGGCGAGAGAGGGTTTCCGTGAACCCGGTGAAGTCAAGATTATGTGAGATTCCTGGCTCTGGGAGTAATTCTCCAAAGATTGGGTATATCAAGCTAACAACATTCAATCAAAATGCTTCTGGTATGCTTTCTTTTGGGCGTTACTTGTTCTTTCTTACACATTTTTCTACTTTCTGGTTTATTATCTCTGAAAGTCTTAATTTTTTTGGTAGCTGCGGTAAAGGAAGCAATTGAGACATTGAGAGGAAACAATGTAAATGCATTCGTCTTGGATCTTCGAGACAATAGGTGATGATTCTAGAATTTAAAACTGCTTTTGTTTTTGTTTCTTCGACAGCCTTTTTCTTGTACACTTGTAAATTTCTTTTGCTGCAGTGGCGGTTCTTTCCCGGAGGGAATTGAGATTGCTAAGTTTTGGTAAAAACCTCATAAATTCACTTCATCCAAAGAATCAGAAGATTTTAACTCAAACAACTCCTCTTATAATAGAAACTTCAACTTTTTGCTATCCACAGGTTAAATAAAGGAGTGATTGTGTATATTTGCGATAGTCGAGGTGTTAGAGATATATATGATACTGATGGAAGCAATGCTATAGCAACCTCTGAGCCTCTTGCCGTTCTCGTATAAGCTTCCTTCCTTCCTCTCCTCAGAATCAATCTATCTCCTTGTTGTAAAGTGCTATGGAAGATATAGCTCTCAACACAATCTTTCTTCTCTTTTTTTTAGGTTAACAAAGGCACAGCGAGTGCCAGCGAGATATTAGCAGGCGCCTTGAAAGATAACAAGCGTGCTCTGGTCTATGGAGAACCGACTTACGGAAAAGGGTAAACAAAAAGGCGTGATTTTGATTCTTTCTTCCTCTCCAAGACCGAACCTTTTGTAAAGATTTTTTTTTTTACACATTTTGCAGTAAGATACAGTCAGTGTTTCAGCTGTCTGATGGTTCGGGCTTGGCAGTCACAGTTGCTCGATACGAAACACCAGCTCACACGGATATAGACAAGGTCTGAAACTACTTTCTTGCACATACTTTGATGTCTTGTACTGACTCCCTCTGTCTACACCACTACATACACATTCTGTTATTTTATCTACTCGTTGGTGGGTTTTTCGAATAGGTGGGTGTTACTCCTGATCATCCGTTGCCGAAGTCGTTTCCTAAAGACGAAGAGGCTTTTTGTGGATGCCTTAAGGATCCTACGGCTGCTTGTTATCTCAATCAAGGCCTGCTTTTTTCTAGATGATTTTGATTTGTTCATACTTTGTTGTGAGATCATATTGAGTAAAAATTCATTGACACAACCTTCGCATTTCTTTTGAACATTCTCATAGCTTCATGATCAGCTAATCGAAACCAGGAATTTCACTTTTAAGAAGAACAAGCAAACAGAGGATTTTTCTTTTCATCATCCACTATGGTCTGCAACAAAATAAATTACAGAGACAAAGCAATCACACTCAGACACCCTCAAACCAAACCAAAGCGAGCTCCATAAGAAGAGACAAAAGAGTCGTGAAGTGACAAACATACACTCATTGATGTTTCTTGATTGATGATGAAGCACTTTTCCAAGCTTCCATGAGTTCTTGAAAGTCAAACAGCGAGCACTATAATAACAATCAGGAGCACGATACCAAAAATCACCAAGAGTAAGCACGTCTGCAAGAAAATAACAATGTCAAAAAGAGGTTTATATGATTGATCTGATCATCATCCAAGATCCTCAAAAACACACATCCATGGTATGACCAAAAGCTTGAATTTTTTTTTTACCAGAGAAGAATTCGATCTTTGTGTCTTTGAGGCTTTTGCGAGATGGGATTTTCCTAGTGCAGTTGCAGCGTGTGAGTTATCGATGTGAGTACCAATATCATCTGCGTGACAAAAAGAGGTGTTAGATTTGAGGATACGAGAGGACATAAGTAAGTTTTTATAATGACCGGATTCTAGAATCATTTTTACCAATCATGGTTCCTTGATCATGTACCAACACTGCCAAGTCCTTGAAGATTTCGTGCACCTCGCCAATTTGCTGCTGGATTTCTTGAATCCCTTGCTCTCTTTCCTCAATAATAGCCTCATTGAACGCAATCTCATTATCCAACAGTACAAGCTCTTGTCTGCAACAACAACAAACTAATTATAAGATGAGTCATCTCAGTAAAAAAAAATCCGGACAAAGATTGAGACTTTTGTTCGGTATAAACTTACCTTCTTGATTCCACAAGAAGCGCACGCTGCTCTGGATGCTTATCTGCATTCACATCCACCTCACTGGCTGTATAGCTATATCACCAAAAGCCAAACAATCAATATACGAAACCTCAAAATGAACATAAACCATTTTCGATTCTTCCAAGATGAGCATTTGACCTAGATGGAGGAGAAGGCTTGGTCACAAGAGGAGCATAAACGGTTTCTCTCTCAGCAGCGAGACGCTGAGCCTTTTGAAACTCTTTCAGTACAGATTGAAAGTCTTTCGCAAGCTTAGCATCTACAATCTTCTTCTTTGGCTATAACAAAAACAAACCCAATCAAAATTCAGAAAACCAACAGAAGAAGCAGAAGAACAACAACGAAGGCTTCCTCTATTCAGTTTTCAAATCGCAAAAATCAACTCACATTTACACCTCTTTGATGATCAGTTTCACTAGCTTCTCTAAGTTTAGCTGATGTGTCTTTCACTAGCTGTCCGATATGTAACCTTGTCTTGTGCCTGAAAACACCATTGTTGGTGACACAGTCAAGCAATCGAAGCATTTACAACTACTGAATTAGAAACAATTTCACAACTTCGAAAAGGAGATAACGATAACTTACAGCTTCTCTCGTAGCTCCGGCGTGTCTTTAGGAGTACCGAGAGTGTTGACGAGGCGTTGGAAACTGGAGACGCTTGTGTTGATTTGAAATATACCGGAAGCTACGGCTTGCGTCGTGTCTTGTCGACCTCCATTGATGTTCCTCGAAGAAGCTAACGATCTTCCTCTTCCCGCCTCTAAATCCTGAAAACTCATCTTCCCTTTCTCTCTCTCTCTATCTCGAAATCCACAAAACTTGTCTCGAAGAACCCACCACGAAATGATACTCCTTTTTCTCCTCAGAATTTTCAAAATTCGATCTTGACGATAACGGAGATCGAGGGAGTGAAGAACGTGACGGTGATTTCAGATTCTCCGGGGGATTCTCTCTCTCTCTCCGACAGATTGAGAAAACGTGAATCGCGGAGAGAGAGTGAGAGATAAGAGATTGAAAAACGTGAAACGTCACATTACCTGTATGAATGGAAAAAAAGCTTGTACCTTTTTTTGTTTTCTTTCAACCCTTACTTTTTCCACAATATTCTAAAAGTAACTCGATAGTTTAGAATCTTACAGGTATATCCTCGTCATTCTATGAAAGAGGATAGAAAATGTTAGGGGAGAAAGTTTGTATGATGAGAATCTTATCATAAGATTTTTATTTAGTTATTTAGCAGTGTAACCTCACATCCTACTCGAATACAATACAAAAAGTCGCTCTTACGATGTGAACTCTACTCTGAGCTCAAGACACATGGACGGTATGCATTGGTGGAGAAAAGTGACTTTTGTCACGTCGTTGGTTGATTTATAATTTTGACCAAATAATAGATTTAAGATTAGTTTTTACATTAAAGAATTAAATCTCTGTATGGACCTTTACGTGCATAAAGAGAGTCAAAGAGATAAGAATTACAGTCACGTCTTGGAGCGAATCTAATGATTTTGGAAAGTAAATTAAAAATTACGGAAAAAAAGAATATAGATTCGGACCTTTTTTTTACCCCTCGCACGTGAGAAGTTGCCGGGGAGAAAATGTTTCCCGACCATAGCACGTGCCAATCCGAAGACCTCTCGTCCGTTTTCCGAGGTGTTTAAAATGGGGTCCGCTTTTTGCTCCTCACAGCAAATCCGAGACCTTTAGATTTTTCTCTTCTTTGGTTTTTCTTCTCATTTCAAATTTGTTCGTTAGTGGAACAAACAGAAAGAAGAAAAACTTCCGCTTCAATCCGCGTCAACAGATTTTCGCCATGTCGGTGAGTTTGATCTAATCCTTCGTTCTCGCTATTCGTTTTTTTTTTCTTTTTGGTTTATCTCGAGAAAAATCGGATTTTTTTTTGTTTGCTGTTATTTTGATCGGAGAAGATGTGAACAGATCTGTTAATTGGGATTGTCATGCTGTAAGATTTGTGCGAAATGACGTTGATTATTAGCCAAAGATGGCTTCTTTTTTGGATTCGGCTATTTGATTTACAGAATTTGTCCGTTTTTGATTTTGGGTGAAAGATACTGTTTCTGAGATGATTAGTTTGTTATTTTTTTAGGGAAATAATGTTTGTTTGGATTTGAATACCCATTTAGCCTTTTCGCTAGATTTATTAGTTCTCGGTTATATGATTTCAACAGCATTTGCAGGATATTGGTCAGTGTGCTGAAATGTTGAAACTTGTACTGATGAAAACAATGCCATTGTGTTTCTGATCTTAGCGATCATTGTATTGATGATAGAATGTTTATGATGTTAGTTTGGTTGCTTCAGGAGTGTTGGTATAGTCATAGTTTAGGCGATAAGAGATATCAAGAAATGTGGAATTAAACAACTTAAGAATAAGTCTGTGATGTGATTTAGGTGTTTGAAAAAAGGTGAAAATAACCATGAGTATTGAGTCTCACGAGATTGATTGGATCTCACTTGCAGATGACAAGTGTCAAAGTGAGCAATGTTTCTCTAGGAGCAACCGAGCGAGACCTCAAGGAGTTTTTTTCCTTTTCCGGCGATATTCTCTACCTTGAGACTCAGAGGTTTGGTTCAAATTCAATACTTAGTGTTTACCTTTGAAAGATTTGGTTTCAACTCTTTAACTTCTTCAGGTTCTTGACTCTTCTTTAACACTTTCATACAGCGAGACAGAACGGTCTAAGCTGGCTTATGTCACTTTCAAGGATCTCCAAGGAGCTGAAACTGCTGTTCTTCTCTCGGTATGTTCACTTCTCAGCCTATTATATCAGTTCATCTCTTTTTATTCACTTCTTTTGAGTAACGAGTATTCGTGTAATTCATACAGGGAGCAACCATTGTTGATTCTTCAGTCATTGTCACTATGGCCCCGGATTACGAACTATCTCCTGAGGCTTTAGCTTCCTTGGTAAGCTCTTAATATCCATCTTCTCTATTGAGATCTCTTCACAAGCAAATTCTCACCATTTCATATCTCCTCAGGAACCCAAGGACAGCACCAAATCTCCCAGGGCAGGTGACTCTGTGTTGAGAAAAGCCGAAGATGTTGTGAGCAGCATGCTTGCAAAGGGGTTCATACTGGGGAAAGATGCCATAGCCAAAGCCAAGAGCGTAGACGAGAAGCACCAGCTAACATCCACGGCATCAGCCAAAGTCGCGTCCCTCGACAAGAAAATCGGCTTCACGGATAAGATCAACACCGGAACGATCGTGGTGGGAGAAAAAGTCAGGGAGGTTGATCAGAAGTACCAAGTCTCGGAGAAAACCAAATCAGCAATCGCTGCAGCGGAGCAGACGGTGAGCAATGCAAGCTCGGCTATAATGAAGAACAGGTATGTTCTCACAGGTGCCACTTGGGTCACAGGAGCTTACAACAAAGTGGCTAAAGCTGCGGAAGAAGTTGGACAAAAGGCGAAAGAGAAAGTTGGTATGGCTGAGGAAGAGGACAAGAGGAAAGTGGTTGATGAGTTTGCTAGAGTTCACTTGTCTGAATCACCAAAGGCTGCTGCGTCAACAAAGCAAGAAGATGACCATGAATCGACGAAACCCTCTGAATCTCCTGAAGCAAAGAAAGAATCTGAACATCATGAGCCTCAGCCGCAGCCACAGCCGCAGCAGCAACAATCTCCTCCACCTGTGGCTCCGCCTCAGCCTTGAGATATGCAGGCAATTAAAGACCTTTCTGATTCTTGTTGTAAACCGTAATACTTGGAACTAATCTCTCTTAAATTGTTGAAGATGAAGATCGAACATGTTATTTAGGACCAAGGCTTGTGTTTTTTTTTGTAACATTGGTGGATTCATGGTCGGTTTGGTAATTAGTCCTGAAAAAACAATTTTGTCCTTCTTGGTTTTCTGTTAAGTTTCTCTATTCTGCAAAAATGATGAAGAAGCAAGGTTGAGTATCTTAACCGGAACGGATCGATCGTTATTTTTTAAAGATAAATATAAATGTACTGTTCTTTCAGTCATCTATTTTGGTTACCTAATAGATTTAGCCAAATTTAGTTCATTACGATTGGTCAAGTGAATTAATATAGTATTAAACAAAAACAAATCTCAAAATCATGTACTCCTTTCGTTTTATTTTTAACTATGTAAATACCCGCACTATTTTGTTTTTATTAATTTTATATAAACTAGGGATGTTTCCGCGCTATGCGCAGATTATTTTTATATAGATATTTGATTATTATTTAAGTTAAATTATTTTCCAGTTAATATTTTAAATATAATTTTTAATTTTTAAAATTGTTTTGATATGATTATACATCAAAAATATTTTAATGTATTCAAAAAATGTATCATGATATAATTTTAAGAATTACCTATTTGATATATGCTAAAATTAATTGTTAATCTAAAACTTAATATTTGTATATAAACTCACTGTTATTCACTATTAACTTTCAAATTATTATTAAAATTATTTTTTGTTTTGACTAAATTTGATTATTATTGTTCCAATTAATTTAGTTTTTTTATTTTTATTTCAACTGTGTTCGTGTAGTGTTTTTATTTAATTAGCAATCTCAAATACAAACAACACTCAATGTTCTAATCTCTTATAAATCTATAAAATAATTATGATTCATATAAATAAAAACAATATTTACATAGTATAAAAAATCACAATCATATTGATAAAATGCAATTTTGATTTGGTCTATGAAGTATACGTAAACTATAAAAATATAGATGAATAAGGCAAGTAATACATATAAAAATACAATTTCATACTAACTCATTATGTTAAATAAAGTATGTTGAGTTTCTCAAAACTCAAAAGATGTAAAAAATTTTGCTTGTAATTTAACTTAAACATTTTTTCTTAAACTACACATATATATTTTGATGAGCCTTTATAATTAAACTAATAATATATATTGTATTATTTTTAAAGGAGTTTCTTAACCTAGTAAAAAAAATTATATTAGTTTTTCATTCAAGTTGGGTTTATAAGGAATTTTGTTGATGTGGATAATTAGAGATTTTTTTAGACATTTTCTTCTACATAAAAATGTGTATGTTATTTTTTCAAAAATGCATTATTATTTAATTTAAAAATTTACTAACTTGATATATATAAAAATTAACTGTCATCTAAAACTTAATTTTTTTTTTATAAACTGTTTAACTCATGCGCTGACATGTATCGCTTGTAGTAACTTGACTACCTTAAGCCAACTAAGACACACATTGAATAAATATCAGTGCATGAAATTCTTTTTTTGTCTATCATTTTCTGCAATGTAAATAGTAACGATGATCGAAATCTTCATATAGATAGATGCTTTGAAAAGCTTCCTATAATTTATGTTGTCTTGTTGGTTGTCATAAATCTAACGTACTATGATGTTTAATCTTTATGTTTCTAAAAGGTGAATGTTTTAGATTTTTATAATTTGTAAATGTTTTAAATTTTATTTTAGAAATTATTATTTTGTAATCTTGTTTCTATTAACTATTATTTAAGTTTTTTAGAGCAATTTCTTGTCCAATATATTCACTATATTACAAAAAGGAGTATATATTAATGCTACAGATTTAAATGATATTTATTTTACTGATTTCGAAAATGATATTTTATTTACTTATTCCTAATAACTATATTAACTTAGTGGTTCTATTTATTTATTTTATGTGTATTTCAAAAGATATAAAGTAAAATTTTTTATTATTGTTATATTACAAATAAAAGAAGTATATATTGATGCTATAAATTTAAATGATGTTTATTTTACTGATTCAAAAAATGATATTTTAATTTTATTTACTTTTTTCGTAACTATATTAATTTTAGTGACAAAAATGAGTATATATTAATGCTACATATTTAAATGATATTTATTTTACTGATTAAAATGATATACAATTTTATTTAGTTTTTGCTAATAACTATATTAATTTAATGGTTCTATTTATTTATTTTATGTGTATTCCAAAAAATCTAAAGTGAGAATTTTCATTATTGTTAATTTGTTATATTACAAACAAAAGAGTATATATTGATGCTATAGATTTAAATAATATTTATTTTATTGATTCAAAAAATAATATTTTATTTTTATTTACTCTTGTATTTAACTATATTAATTTTGGTTCTATTTATTTACTTTATGTATATTTCAAAAAAATCTAAAGTGGGAATTTGTATTATTATTTTTTGCTGATGTGTCATATTTTTAGAGTAGTTTGAAAAGCTGAGGTGGATAGCTTAAGGAGCCCCAAATAGTTCTTTTTATTTAGTATAGACTAGGGATGTTTACGCGGATTGTTTTTATATAAATATTTGATTATTATTTAAGTGAAGTTATTTTAATTTCAAATTAATATTTTAAATATAATATTTGATTTTGTTTTGATATGGTTATACATCAAAGTTTTTTAACGTAATCAAAAAATGTATTATGGTTTAATTTAAAAATTTACCTACTTGATATATGTGAAAATTAATTGTTAATCTAAAACTTAATATTTGTATATAAACTCATTATTATTCACTAATTTTTAAAATATAATTAAAATTATTTTTGTTTAACTAAATTTGATTATTATTGTTCCAATTAATTTGGATTTTTTTTTTTCATTTCAATTGTGTTCGTTTAGTATTTTTATTGCATTAGCAGTCTCAAATACAAAATGAAACTCAATATTCCAAACTCTTACAAATCTGTAAAATAACTATTGTTAATATAAATAAAAACAACATTTACATAGTATATAAAATCACAATCATATTGATAAACTACAATTTTAATTTGGTCTCTCAAGCATATGTAAATTATAGAAATGTAGATGAATATGACAAGTAATACATATACAAATACAATTTCATTATAACTCATTCTGTTAAATAATGTATGTCGAGTTTCTCAAAACGCGAAAGATGTAAAAGGTTCATTTGCATTTGGCTTGTAATTTAACTTATATTTTTTTTAAACTACACATATATTTTGACGAGCTTTTATAATTAAACTAATAATATATACTATATTATTTGTAAAGGAGTTTCTTAACCTAATAAAAAACCATATTAGTTTTTCTTACAAGCTAGGTTTATAAGGAATTTATTTTTTGTATTTCGCTTACAATTTAACTTAAATATTTTCTTAAACCATACATATATTTTGATGAGTCTTTATAATTAAATTAATAATATTTATTATATTATTTTTAAAGGAGTTTCTTAACCCAAAAAAAAATCATATTAGTTTTCCTTACATGTTGAGTTTGTAATGAATTTATATTTTGTTGATGTGGATGGTTAGGGATGTTTTAACCATTTTCTTTTATATACAAAATATATAGTTTATTTTTAAAAATATATAATTTTAATATATTAATATTTAAAATAGAGTTATGCTAGTCTATTTTTTTCTGTATTGCATATATTTTTGTAGTAAGTAATGTATAAGTAAAGTCTTATAAGTATATTTTTGTAGAGAGAATAGACATTTTTGTGTCCATATATGTAAATTACAGTTGTGTTCATTTGAAAAAAAAAATTATTTATTTGTTATGCATATAATCTGCATATTTCTAAAAGGTGAATGTTATAGATTTTTTCTAATTTGTGAATGTTTTTATTTTTTTTAAAAAAAATTATTATTTTGTGACCTTGTTTCTATTAACTATTATTTAAATTTTGTTAGAGCAATTTGTTGTCCAATATATTCATTATATTACAAAAAGAAGTGTGTATTAATGCTGTAGATTTAAATGATATTTAGTTTACTAATTCAAAAAGTTATATTTAGTTTTATTTAGTGTTCTGGTTACTGCTCCAATTAATTTGGATTTTGTTCCTTTCAATTGTGTTAGTGTAATGTTTTTATTTCATTAGAAGTCTCAAATACAAAACAACAATTAATGTTCTAAACTCTTACAAATCCATAAAATAACTATTTTTATATCAATAAAAGCAACATTTACATAATAAGTATACCAAATCACAATCATATTGATAAACTGTAATTGTTATTTGGTTCCTGAAATATATGTAAACTATAGAAATGTAGATGAATAAAGCAATTAATACATATACAAATACAATTTCATACTAACTCATTATGTTTAACAAAGTATGTCAAGTTTCTCAAAACTCAAAAAGTGCAAAAATGTATATTTGTATTTCGCTTATAATTTAACTTAAATATTTTCTTAAACCATACATATATTTTGATGAGTCTTTATAATTAAATTAATAATATTTATTATATTATTTTTAAACGAGTTTCTTAACCCAAAAAAACTATATTAGTTTTCCTTACATGTTGAGTTTGTAATAAAATTATTTTTTATTGATGTGCATGGTTAGGGATGTTTTAGCTATTTTCTTTTACATAAAAATATATAGTTTATTTTTTAAATATAAAAGTTTAATATATTAATATGTAAAATAGAGTTATGCTAGTCTATTTTTTCTGTATTGCATATATTTTTGTAATAAGTAATGTATAAGTAAAGTCTTATAAGTATATCTTTGTAGAGAGAATAGACAATTTTGTGTTCATATATGTAAATTACGGTTGTGTTAATTTGAAAAAATAATATATTTATTTGTTATGTGTATAATCTATATGTTTCTAAAAAGTGAATATTTTAGATTTTTTTCTAATTTGCTAATGTTTTAAATTTTGTTTTAGAAATTATTATTTTGTAACCTTGTTTTTATTAATTATTATTTAAGTTTTTTTAGAGCAATTTGTTGTCCAATATATTCATTATATTACAAAAAGGAGTATGTATTAATACTGTAGATTTAAATGATATTTATTTTACTGATCAAAAAATTATATTTAGTTTTATTTAGTGTTTGCTAATAATTATATTTTGCTGATGTGTCAAGTTTAGAGAGCTTTCTAAAAATCTGAGGTGGATAGCTTTAGAAGCCCCAAACTCTTCCTTTCATTTAGTATAGATTTTGTTTACAACTTTCAATCTGATATGAAGATCCATTAAAGCAACAAAAAAATAGTTTTAGATAATTAGTTCTTGTCAGTTTATATGAAAATGCATTTTTCTGCATAATTTAAAAAAAAATGGAAAAAGTTTCAACAAAAAGTGTTTTAAACAGTTTTTAGTGGGATGCTTTATTTTCTTTATCAGTTTCCCGTCAATAATCTATTTTTTAAAATTTACAAGATTTAAACCAGATAAATCGTATTCAAAGTGTATATCTTTAGAAGAAATGAAAATGCATGTAACTTTTTTGCTTCTTTCATTTGGTAGTTTACAAATTATTTTGTTAAGCATACAAGTAAATGCCACATTTGAACAAAGCAAAATCTTCTGGTATGTTAACTACTATTCAACACCAGATCAATGAACAATTGTTTCAAACATTTTTAGGAATTATAGATGATCTGTGTGAAAGATTAAAAAAATTACCGGGAAACTTGAACTTGTTAAGTAGAAATAGAAGGTATTAGAGCTCCTCTTTCCTTCTTTTGTTGTATTTCAGTTTCTTATAATAATTTAACTAATATTAATCTTATTATTTTTGATAATTTACACAAAGAAACAAAAACTATATATAGTATTTTTCTAAATTTCTAACTTATTATATTAGATTTCTAGTGTTTGAAGTTATAGCCGAAAATAGTAAATGTTCATGCAGCTTGGTAAACAATCAAATTAAATTTCAAGGATGTAAAAGACTATCTAGACCATTTTTTTACTATGCTCCCTGCAAAAAATATAAGATAAGTAGTTCCACATCAGAAGTTTTATATACAATTCATGTTGCTTCATATAGCTCTCGTTTAATTCTTTTTTTTTTTTGTCAAAGTTCTTAATGCTTCAACAATGATATACAAGCCAGTAGTTTCTCGTCTATATAGAATAACATAGATTTCTTTTATATTTTATTGTTCTTCTTTATCATTTTCTTCAATCTTTTTTCTTCTTTCCCCTTCTTTAGCCTCTGCCTCTGCTTTCTTTTCCATTTTTCTCTTTCTCTCTTCCTCTTCTTCCTTCTTTTGTTTGGCCTCTTCCTCAACCTTCCACTTTGCCTCTTCCTTCTCCTCTTTCAAAACTTCGATCAAACGCTTCAAACATGTCTCTGCTTCTACCCCCTTCTGATTTCGGCAGCAGATTCTCCCCAACGTCTACTGGTGTCATCTTGATTTCTTCAACCTCAAGCAACCTCTTATCTCAAATAGTTCTTGTCCAGCTGTGTATTATCCTTAGCCATTGTCAACTCAATATCATAAACATCGTATTTCAAGAAATTCACCATCACAGTAATCATGGTCGATTTTCCGGTCCCAGGTGGTCCGAACAAAAGATACACTCGCTTCGAAGCCTTCCCAATCTTCTCCTAATTATATTTGCTCTTATGAAACTTGATTAGATCGCTCTTGATCACTTTCTTCTTCTTTCGCAGGATGCTCAAACGTTATATGACTCCACATTGTCGGACTTCCGTGCCTCTACCCTGGAGTATTCGAATGAGGAAGCTTTCATGGATTTTTTTTTTGATAGACAAAGTGCGACCGCAGCGAAAGACATGCTAATATTCCAAAGAGGCACAAATCTCATCTCTGATTCTCATGGAATGGTCACTTTGGTATTATATAGTTTCTCTTCTTCCTTGACTCTTTCTTGTTCTTTGGACTCATGTAATTGTATTAACTTCAAAATTATTTGAATTTTTCAGACTGGAATCTTGCCTCTGTTTGTACTGATTTCTCAGGCATTTGCAGCTACTATTACAGCCATTCCAACTGATTCTCCCTATTACATTGCTGCTTGCCCTACCTCTAAAGGTTTCCTCACTACTCTTATAACCTAATAATATATATGACAAAAGCTTTAACCTGTTAGCTAATCTTGTTTTGTTGTTTCTCTTAGATCCGACTTATATAATGGCACTGTGGTGGATGGCGTTTCAAAGCCGTAAACTTTCTCTTGTGGGTGAGGCGGATAGTCCCTGTAGAACCGGTCTTGCATCTTCTTAAGCCCTTCCATTCCTAACTCCATCGCGTTAATCGCCTGAGCTTCAACAGAAGAAAATAGATCAATGCCTCTTCAACTTTATCAATTCGAGCAATCCTTCATATATACAAAACCATACCTTGTGAGCTAAACCGATGTGGAAAAGCTTTCCGGTAAAATGAAGTTTTCGCGGAATCAAACCGCTGGTTCCAATACACGGCTGCTTATCCGCTGTATCAATCCAAAACCTTCAAAAAAATAAACATAAGAAAGCTTTTTCAGTCATCCTCCAATGTTATGTCTAAAAATCTCTCCAGTAAGAATTAAAACTCACAAAGGTTCGAATTTGAGCTTATCGGGAAGTCTGCCTTTAACCAGTAAGTCCACACCAACACCTAGAAATGAAGAGTTCTCTTTCGCTGGCGATGAAAACTGCTACACCAGATGATTTCAGCGCCGTTGGTCTCGCTGAGCCTCTTCATGAGCTCGGTCACAAGAGCAACATGGCCAAGACAATATGTAGTCTCACGACTTCGAAGCTTATCGTCATCTATGGTTAGGGAGAAAGATTCAAATTCCTGTGAACAAACAATCGAAATCAAACAAGTGTTATTCTTCAAGACTCCAAATCAATCAAGCAGTAGAATCCAATAATCATAAAATAAAAGAAATTGATGTTACTGATACTTTACAGTAATCAATTAAGAGTTAAAAAGAGAGAAATGATTGAAAATTTTGATTATTTGACATTATTTCTTCACAAAATAGAATCAGTAAAACCCTGTTACTCGATAATCATAGTGTAACTCTTCACCAATTTTAATCAACACACTAAAACTTAGTTTTAAAAGTTAGTATTCGAAAAAAAAAATATCAGTATTGCTGATATTTATAGTGCTTGAATTTTAAATACCGATTAAATTTTAGAGTACATAAAAGAAGAGAAAGAATTGAATTTTATTTTTGACTTTTTAATGAGTTTGGCAAACAATGAATGATTGAATTTTTAATGGGTTTGGATAAAAAAAGTTAACAAAAATTAGTATATAATATGTATTATTAAAATATTTTGATGGGTGATTTTTTTTGCTGAAGTGGCAGCTTTAGAAAGTTTTAAAAAAAACTGATATCAAATTATGGAGAGACACAAGGGTTATTGTTGTGTTGATTGATGTTAAAAAATTTACACATGAGTTTATAACTTTTTTTTCTATACAGAAACATTATTTATTATCCAATTAATAATAATTTAGCCAATGATCAAAAAGATTTAAAATACAAATGGTCAAAAACAGGAAAAAAATATTTGCACTGAAAATATAAAATATTATTTTAAATTAAACAAAAATTGATGGCTAAATCATAGAGAAGGAGTATTCTATACATTAATATTCTTTCCTAAATATAGGACTTAAGCATTTAAACTTTGAAAATATCTTAATGCATTATTAGTTAAGAAATGACAAATATAAGGAAGAAAATAATGAAAAACAAAAGAGGGAGAAATTGTTTCCTTACAATTAGTATAAATAGTCTCTAAAAACAAACAACTCAAAATCATTATTACAATAAGAAAAAAGAGTACAAACACAATAGAAAATGGTGAAATCAGCATTGATATTCATTGGTATTCTACTCTTTTCAACATGTGAGTTTAGAACAATTTTTTCCCCCAATTTTTCTCATCCTTCTCATTATAATCTAAAATATAATTTATTACAGGTACAGCAATTCTGGCACGAACCGGTTATCAACCTTGCACGAAGGACTCTGATTGTGCTAGACTCAAATGTCCATCTCCACTAGGACACCCCACGTGCGTGCATGGTGGTTGTGAATGCCCCTTGGAAGAACACGTGACAGTGACACTACCCGAAGATACCAATTGTGGTGTGGCAGCTTGCAATTGACTATTGCGCAGCTAGAGGCGAAAAAGCTTATGCTTGTCTTCTGAACCATTGTTACTGTTGCAAACCTCCCATGTAGTTTGAAAAAATAATTTCCATTCTATTTATAATAAAATCAAGTTCTTTCAACTATCGAATTTTTGTTTTAGAAAATCAATACAACAATAACACAAGTGTCTTTTCTGAAGATGACAGCTCAGCTTTTTTAAGTTTTATAAACATCACACTTCAGTAAAAATAATCATCAATCAAAATATTTTATTAATACAATTTATTTACTTATTTTGGTTTTTAAATTTAAACTCATTAAAAAGTCAAATATTTTTTTCTATTAATTTTTGTTTTATTTTTTTACCAGACTCAAACCCAACTAATTAATAATAGCAAATAAAAAAAAAATTATTTTTTTGTCAAACTCAAATCCAAATAACAAGTAAAAAAATAAAAAAATAAATGTTTGTTTTCTTTTTTCGGCAAACCCAAATATAAATAATAAATAACAGCAGATCAACAATAAAAATAAAATTTCTAGCTATCTGTTTGTTTGACATAGACGTATATGATTGAAAAAATATAGGCTCATCATCAACTATGTTTCCATGACAACAACGCAAAAAGCCTTATGTTATAAGAAGCTCACACATCAGCAAAAATTTGAACCGATAAAAACATAACAATTTCTTAGGTTTTGCGGGGAAAAAAAATTCACGAGGGATAATACAATTTTTAATTTTCGCGGGAAATTGTAGTTTATCTGTTTTAGTAGGAAAACGTAATTCTTGGTTTGACGAGAAAATAATTTTTTTTTTTGGCAGGAATAGACGATTTCTCAGTTTTTGCAAGTAAATAAATTTTTCAGTTTTGACGGGAAAATATAATTTTTTGGTTTCTGCAGAAAGATGAATTTTTTTGGTTTTTGTGAGAAAATGTAATTTCTCGGTTTTAGTAGAAAAACACAGATTCTCACGGGAAAATTTTTTTTTATGTTTTAGGTTGGACGAGAAAATGAATTTTTTGGTTTTGGTGGAGATAGGCGATTTCTCAATTTAAAAAAAAAATAAAGTTTTTGTTTTGACGGAAAATACGATTTCTTGATTTTTGTAAGAAGATAAAATTTATCTATGCTAAATTTTCAAGTTAAAGTATGTTTACAGTAACCAAAATTTAATTATTTAACTTTAACAAAAATGATATTTTAAAAATTCAAACAAAATTTTCTTTTTAGTTCTAAAGCAATATACTTTACTAACATTGTGGTTATTTACTTTTATCTAAAAGAAAATCATTTTTTTCATTAGTGTGAGACAAAATATGATTTTATCTTCTCCAATTTATATTCAACGTTCAACAATTCATTTCTTCCTGTTTAGTACTAAAATTCTATTCATGTATCTATCTGTTGATGACTTTCAAACTTACCTGGGATCTTCAAACTGAAAAGAAATTAGGATTTTTACCCAAAAAAGAAATACAAACATTGACCAATAAAACGGTCAATAGAAAGAAAAAAAAATTCTTAGCACTATAAATTACCTTCATACTTTCACGTTAGTCAAATAAATAATTCAAAATCACCAGAAAAAGACAATTTATTCAGTAAAAATGGAAAAAGCAACATTGATATTCATCGGCTTTATACTTTTCTCAACATGTATGTTTTTATAATCATATTTTAGTTATTCATCACATTGTAAATTTGCGATAGTTATTGATTTATTAGCATCATGATGACCATATTGTCTCTCTTACAGGCACTCAAATTCTAGCACAGTCTTGCAAAAAGGACACTGATTGTATTCATCTGAAATGTGTAACAAAGATCAAATGTGTGGAAAACAAATGTAAATGCATTAATGAAAAATATGCGTTTAAACCATTTGATACGTCCTGTGGTGTTGCTGCTTGCATTGACTTGTGCAAGGCCAAAGGCGAACAAGCTTATGCGTGTATCTTAAACCATTGTTACTGTCGCAAACCTCCTATGTAATAATTAAGTAACTACAAGCTTAAATCATTGTATTTGCTTGCATCATCTTCAAATGTTGTAATTTCACAATTTTTCCATGTAATACTTTTATTATTTTACTCTTTTCTATCAAGAGCCAAAAATAAAATATTAGATATTAAATTTTTAATTTTACAGATTTTATAAAACTATTTAGAACCATTAATGTAATTTTAAATTTAGGATAGAATATTATTTTGTTAGTTCATTTTTCTCTCTTCTTATCTATATACAGTTCAATTGTTTATGGTAGACCAAATATAATAATTTTGAACTATAATTATAATAATTTTTCTTCAAATATTTAAGTCACTTAAATTCTATTATTTTTAAACAATGTCTCTTTAATATTATAAATAAATTTCTTAAATAAACAATACAAAATATTGACCAGTGGAATTGACAACAGCAACAAAAAATATTGACTTGCAAAGTTGTTTACCGAACATCAACTTGTTTTTCTACAATTATAGGTAGTCTTACTATAAGAAAATAAAACAAATTATGGCGGATATTATGATTAAAAAAATTCTTCAAAATTTTTTTTTTGATTTTTAATGGAATTATGATGATTTTTATCTTTTATTTTAGTTTTAACGAAATTTTGACAGAAATTATATTTTTATTTTATTTTCTGATAGAATATCTATTTTTAAAGAAAACACTAAAGTTTAATTGCTAAAATTGACCATTAAATATTTTTAAAAAATTGAATATCCCGCATATACAAGAAATTTTTTTTTAATACTGATTTGTTAATCTATTGCAAACTATGACTAATGTTATATCGACGATTCTACAATGGTCAACTATACCGTTTTATGAAGATCCACGACTAACGGCACTACCTGCACTCTGCACCACGCTTACCATCATCATATGAAGATCTATGTCTGACGATTCTACTTGCACTATATTGAAAAGAACTGTTACATCGACAATTCTACAATGGTCAATTCTACCATCTTATGAAGATCCACGACTAACAGCTCTACGTGCACCCTGCACCATGCTTACCATCATCATATGAAGATTTATGCCTGACGATTCTACTTGCACTACACTGAAGATCTCTTGTAAGATTGCCTCCACTAATTTGCATCATTCTTTATTAATCTGCATAACTAATAATAAATCGCGTTTTCTAGGATTTGAAACTCAAACCTCCTGGTGTAAAAACATTAATAAATTTTTATTAAATCATTGGACCTAGGAGGCTTCCACAACTTATACATGATAGAAATCTGATGGAAATGTCCATTACAACTTTTTTTATAAATAGATTTTTTTAAAAAAAATATTTTACAATTCTTAGTTTCAATCTCTTTCTATAAAAAAATCACTGATTGTGTTTTTCTAAAATATCGCCCATTATATTTTTTATAACTCTAAATTTCAGTCTCTTGATACATAACTTAATATAATGAATAGTGTCAAGAAAGATTTCAGTCTCTTATTTCATGTAACTTTATATCTCATTCAGTTCTGTGATTGGTTGTAACTTCAAATAAGAGAAATTATAATTAGAGTTGGCGAGAAAGAGTAAGAAATATGTTCGTATGTTACATATGTTTGATAGGTTTTAATATCAAAAAATTATGCTTGCTTGATAAATTTTTGATTTTAATTGATTTGAGGTATTTTTTTTCTTCTATGAAGCAATTCTGATGTGTTCATCTATCTAACGATGATTAAATATATGACTATATTTGTGAATGTGTGTGAATATATTTTAGTCTATTTTCATGTCATGTGGAGGGACATGACCTGACTATATTTAAAATTATAATCAATAATCTATTTTAGATTATATATATACTTCATATTAAAAATTATATATTATCTGACTATGAATTAAGTCCTCGAATATCAATTTTGAGAAAAAATAGTTGATAAGTATTTACCGTTTTTTTTTCTTATAAATCAAACTCATTTCTATATTATATAATTCAAACACTTTAGCTTCCTTATTCATGAAAAAACTTCATTCATTTTATACAGTAAAATATATAAAAAAAATATATAGTATTTTACTTTAGTTTTATGCAGTAATCTTTCTAACTAGTTATATATATGATTTTAGTTTATTTATATTCTTTATTTTAAAACTTATATATTATCTGGCTATGAATAAATTCGTCGAATATTAATTTTGAAAAAATTATTGATAAGTATTTACTTTTTTTTTTCTTTTTTGTTCGAATCAAGTTCATTTCTTTATTCAAGAATTATGATAGAAATCTGATGGAAATATCCATTACATTTTTTTTTTTATAAATAGAACTTCTTTTTAAATATTTTACAATTCTTAGTTTCAATCTATTTCTCTAAAAAAACTCTGATTGTATTTGTCTAAAAAAATTTAATGTCAAGAAAGATAATTTCGATAATTTTGATGTTATCCCCATTATATTTTTTATAAATCTAAATTTTAGTCTCTTGATACATAACTTAATATAATGAATAATGTCAAGAAAGATAATTTTGATGTTATCTAATACCTTCAATTGCAGATTTAATTTAGAATCATTTCCAAATTTGAGTTCTGTATATTTGTAAAATATCTGGAATGACACAAGGAACCACCATTAATGTAATATTAAATTTAGGACAGATTCTTATTTTTTTAATTTATTTTTTATCTTCTTTTTTATATACGATTTAGTTGTTTAGTATATCTAAATTGCATAGAAAATATAATAATTTTGAACTCAATTATAAGTAGGGGTTATTGGTTCTTGTATTTTGGTGGATTTATAAATCTTCTTTGGATTTGATAAATTTATTGATTTCAAAATCAGCAAAATAGAAAAAAATCAAATCCACTCAAATACCAAAGTTAGACCTTGTATTTGGGTTTTTGTATTTTAGTCATGAAAATCTTTCCAAATCTATTCAAATTCAATTAAAACTCAAATCCTTATAATATTTAGATTCTAAAATGATAGAACCAATAACACTGTATTTTATTATGAATTTTAAAATCATAGAACCAATAACACTGTATTTCAATATAAATTTTAAAATACAAGAACCAATAACACCTCCTAAGTCTTTCAAATATTTAAAGCATTTAAATTATTTCTTTTTAAACAATGTCTCTTTTATATTATAAATAATAATTATCAAATTATTTTCCTATAATTATAAATAGTTTTCACATTTTCTACTTTAATCACACAAACAATTAAAATCACAAAAGAAAAGTAAAATTTTAATTCAACAAAAAAATGAACAAAATATCTCTAATATTCATTGGTTTTCTACTTTTCTCAACATGTAAGATATTTTATCAAATGTTTAATTATATTTATTACCATCCTTTTCACCATCAATATTATCATCATGATTTACTGATTTGAAATGTGATTTTACAGGTATTCAGATTTTAGCAAAACAATTCTAAATGCGATTCTAATTATACTGATTTGAAATGTGAAACAATCAAGTGTACGCAGAATAAGTTTGCATATCTTAGTGAAAGACATGTGGCTTTCCCTGCTACGACGACTAATGATCGTCTATCTTGCATTGAGTTTTGCAAATCGAAATTGTTAGAGGGAAATAAGCACATTTATTAAAAGGTTTTCCCCGCAATAATTTAAGTTCATCAAGATCAAGAAAACCGTGCCGACCTAGCTTGGATTTAAGAAAATCTCTTAAGGATATCCTTTGAAGACCGGAAACATCGGATTAATTCAAAGGATAAAGGAGAATTTTCTTACTCCTCGAAGAATAAATGATATTTTCATATCTATGATATGGAAATATACGCAAAGACAAAAAAGAAAAGGAGTTCGGAGCAACCGACCTCCCATCCCTATAAATAAAGAGGACTCGGAAGCCAAGAAGATCATCAAATACATTCTAGAGAACAATAGAGCAAAAACCAGAGACTCCAACGCTTTCTAGTTTACTTCACAAACACTTTTTTCACTTCGGCATAACCTCACGGTTATCCATTTCCTTGTAATCGCTTCGCTTATTACTATTAATAAAAAGACTTTATTCTCTGAAATCTACAACTGTTAATCAAAACCCTAGTGGTGATTTTCTGGTTCAACAATTGGTGCCGACTGTGGGGACTAGGAAAATAACTTCTTAAAAACCAAGTAAGAAAGCCGAAGCGATGAGCCTCCTCGTCGACAACAGCGATCTCATCCGCAACAACAACGACACCACTCACACCGAGACACCCGCTCTCGGTGAACGTATGAACGTCACTACCGCGAATCCACTCGCTGGAGCACCCCCAGCTCCCCTCCAAGCCGCAGACCTCGCTACAGCTATCCAGGCTGCCACGATATCACCCATAGGAAAATGCAAACAAGCAATCACCAACAGTACCCACATGATTATAGGAGGAATATTCCACGATCCCAACTCGCTACGAGAAATAAGAGAACACGAAGAGAAAGCAGCGGCAGCAAAGCGAGACCCACCCATCCCAAGATACGAGACGCCAATAGAATTCACAACGGAGGATTAACATAGCTCGCACAAACCGCACTTCGACCCGTTAGTCATAACTTTACAGATCATGACAGCACGATCGCCAAAGTCCTGATCGACGGTAGGAGCACAATCAACGTTATATTTGAAGACACACTGTTAAGAATGCATATTGATAAAAACAAGATAATAGCAATCAGAAAACCATTGATCGGATTCGCAGGCGACACCTCTTACAGCATCGGTTCGATATACCTAATCACTTACATCAGCGGCATGACTAGAAAGGTAGAATTCGCAGTCATCAACCGCCTGACCATCTACAATGTCATCCTTGGAACACCATGGATTCACGCCATGAAAGCCATCGTCTCGACGTACCATCAATGCATCAAGTTTCCAACCCCTACCGGTGCATTCACACTTCAGGGCGACTAGTCATCAGCACGAATGTGCCTTCTCAACAAAAGAAAAATCAGATCGGCGACCACCTGCATGGTGAATGAAGACTTAGACCCACGTCTCCCCTTCCACAAAAGGCCAAAGCCCGAGCGAGTTATACAGATAAGCATCGACGAGCAGCATCCGGAGAGACTTACGAGCATTGGAGGTGACCTTACAGAAGATATAAAAACGGAACTCGTAAAACTTTTACGCGACCATGTGCATCTGTTCTCCTGGTCCATAGAGGATATGAAGGGAATT